CAATAATATTAATGTAGTGGGACCTTACTGGTACATTCATCAATGTAAGACACATTTGGATTCCAGTAACTATAAGTCTTTGCATTCTATAATGTGATCGAGTGCTTTCATTTTGTTCTTTCTGGATAGCAGTTTGTATTCCCTCTAATAGATGGTGGAGCTAAGAAACCCAGGGATTTCTAAGAAGGGCAATCTGTCATGCTCATGTATTTTCTTCTGTAGACAGACAACTTCTGTACAGCTCTATCAATCTGGACATGGACAGTCATTCCAAACAATTTCAGCAAAGCACAAAAGAGAAATGGCAAGAGAGCCTTGCCCAAGGACACTACAAAATATTTTGAGAGCTTTATAAATAGCATATTCATAGATTAATATCATAAATTTGGTTCTACTGAGTCCATAGATATAGGGAGTTACTCTGCTGCTGGAGCTCAGACTTTGGATAAGAAGAAGAATGTAATTACTTACAGCCACTAACAGTCCCGTGGGCCTTTTCACAGTCACAGAACTAATTACCCTTTCAGCTGGCTGAGTTAAAATGAGCCTGACTGCTGTTATTTCAGTTGTGGATGAGGCATGTATGACACAGAAACACTGGTAAGGAGTTCTGCAAGGCACCGAGGCTATGATGGCTCTGCAAAGGGGTTCCCTGGATTGTCTGGAAGAGACAAGTGCTTCCTTATGGTCCAGAATCTGTGCATCAAACACACTCCTCTCCACGTGTCTTTAAGTGTCAGACACTTCTATCTCCTGTGTGACAGATTTTTCTGATTGATGCACCTCCAAGAAATGTAGTGGGAAACAGGATAAACAATAATGCTGTTGACACTTGTTCTCCAGACTTTCAATCAGCAAACATAAACAAAAAACGATCAAATACATGTAAACTATGGTTAGACTATTAATTGTTTTGCCATTTCAAAGCTTCAACTTTAATGACTCATCTCTTTCCTGTCCACTAATATTCCAGAGTAAATTAATAATAATAAATGTTAATAACAATATCGTAATATACAATGAAATTAATTTTGAGCTGCGGATTAAAAAGTAGGTCTCAGTAATCCAGGGAAAGTTTCACAGTGGATTTGGTACAGAGCTAAAATATTCATCACATTTGTGCAAAATAATCTGCAGTGCACCCTGCCAGAGCCTTCACGCATCAGTTCAGCTCACAGTTACATAAAGAGACACTTGTGAGAAAGGCAAGCAGCAGAGTTAGAGATGTGCTGCTCTCAGGGACAGTGACACAACAGAGGACAGTGACATTTCCATTGCTGGATCTCTGCAGCCTACTGTACCCACTCCGAATTAGGGCAAGAACGTGGAATAGCCATTAGATGGCAACAACTCCAAATCGCTTCCTGTCCCTCCTGCCTCTGACCCACTGACCTAAAATAATCCACAGTCAGTTTTAGCACAGTTCAAAGCAAGTACAGACCTTCCTTCCCATGCCAGTGTGCTTTTTAAGTGAATAGTGGGCCATGAAAAATCCTCCCCTTGAAAGGAACCTGTTTCTGGAAGCCCATGTTGGACGACGTTCCCACAGTGCCACTGCAGGGGAGCGTCACCTGTGCACACCATGGAACAGAAACACCTTCTTCCCGGGAATTAATGCATTGTTCCTTTAGAAGGGCCACAAGGATTGATCCTGATGAGACATCTGCAGCTTGTTCTAAAGACCTTGAAAGATTTACCCGTATCAGATAAATCCGCTAAAACTACTATTATATTAGAAATTGTTTCTGTACCTCAGGAAATTCCTTAGGTGCTGATAAACAGCAGTTATTGGAATCCAGCAACTTCAGTTTGACACTCTCTTCTATATGGGTTTCTCTTTTTCTGTCTATATTTGTTCCATAAATTCCGAGAATGAAGTTTGAACTTTAGAGGTTTCTTTGGCTTATATTCTTTTCTATAAATCCAAATACCAGCCTAGATTTTAATAGAGAAATTCAGTATCATAGAAACATAGAATGGGTTGGGTTGCAAGGATCATCTGGTTCCAACCTCCCCAAGTTTAACTATTTTGTACTTGACGGGACTGTTTCCACCACACACAAACAAAAAAGGAATTAAAATGCTCTTCAACCTGCATTTCCTTACTATTCCCATAATTGCTTATAATGGAGATAGCTACATATTTTCTCCACCACACAGGCTCTTTTTTACATTAGACAGTTATCAGTTTTGCTTTAACAGAAGTAGCAAGAAAAACCACTCATAAAACTGCCTTCCTGCCACTGACATCATAGTCTAAGATAACCTATGCTGGGAAAGACATCCTTTGCTTAGGTTGATAGAAGACATCTACAGGATTCTGTAAAAAGTTTATTTTACATGTATATGGTAATATATACAAGGATATGCACACAGAAAAGAAAATAATGTTGCAAATAACATTAACAGAAATACAGGTATTTTAAAAAAAGGTCACCGATTCCTTAAGGTCAATACCTACTTTAAAACTCAACATGAAGACAAAGAGGCAGACTATCACACAAGAAAAAGCAAATTCTGATATTAGCAGCAGAAACTGTTCATTTGACATGGTGATGACAGACTGATTCCAGACTGACAGTTTTTATCCAGCCACCAGAAGGAATTTCTATTCTGCTAAGTAATAGCTTGAGTACGAATGAATTTCCATGAGAATAAAATTTTCAAATGTGTGTTCAAGCATAAAATAGCTTGGATAAAATATTAATCCTCCAGGTGAGAACTGTTTCTCAAGCTGTTTTCATAGGGAATCACCTCTCTGCAGGTGGGCAACATACATAAATCTTTGTAATACATTATTTATTTTTACCACAGACACTGTCTAAGCAGGCGATTGGAATTCATGCAAATACCCAAGTAGGAAAGCTTGCAGCTCAGAGAATGCATTATGTCCAGCTGCCTCTTTCCTCTCTGCTTCACCAGGAAGACAGAATATTTCTAGGGGCTGTTATGCAGCAGTACAAAAATGATGTTACAGTGATATAGAATAACACAAGGGCTACTTTCTCCAGCCTATGGAAAGAAAATGCAGAGCCATGAACCTGGTCATCATAACACAGCTGCAAAATTGTCTTGTGTAGACAATTTCTAAAGAAAAGAGGAATACTAAGGGGAATACTGCACAGCACTAGACATCATATAGAGAAGTAAGACCAACTTGGTGGCTCACTTTCATTTTCACTTGATCTCAACTCTAACACTTATTAACTGAATCAGTGCAGAAAAGCTGTCAAATACACAGGGTCAACTCCTCCTGACTTTTGGGGATAGAAAATACTAAGGAGAAGAGGTGCAGTGCACTGGAATATCTAATTAGCAGATGATGTGGCTGTTCACCACCTAAAAAGCATAAAAGCTGTGATATGGTTGACACCATTTTACCCACAGCTGCTCTAATATTTTATATCCTGAGATATTATTTCAACCAACCAGAACCACTGGGCCTATTGATTAAGTTTCAAAGGGAACACACTGGTTTTCAGAGCTGAAACACCGAGTGAACCAGGATTTCCTAAGAAAATACAGATCCCATCCCATTGCTATGAAAGCAACTGCCAAACCTAACAGCACTATGAAAAAGAAGGTACTAAAATTACAACCAAGCCCATTGTTTGATTTAACATGCAATAGAGACAACAACACAAAAGTAATCTTTTTCCTGTCACACTGAGGTATTCCAGGCCATGGGAAAACTCACAAATCATGGCTAAACAGACTGCAAAATTTACATTCTTACAAGTATCTCAAACAGAGACCAGAGTTAAAGGTTTAGGGGGGCATTACATCTGCAGAGAGAGAAGTGGCAAACAAACAAACAAACAAAACCAAGAGGAAGGTGTCAAAGAGTGTTTCACTAAAATATGGAACTTTTTGCCTGCAGATTACTTGTAAAAATGTCTAAGGAAGGTATCTAAGACGAAAATGAACTGTCAAGGCTTTGAATTGCTACATGGAGGTCAAAATCTCCCTGGAAAATTCCTATGGTATACAGAATTGGGAAGGTCAAACCTCACTAAGCCACAAGACATTTGCCTTGTAAAAAAAAAAAAAAAGGAGAGAAAAAACCCCCACCATAGCACTTTAGAAAGAACTCAGTTCTAATTTTGTGACAATATACAGAGCAATAATCAGGAAATTCTAGTTTCCAAGCAACCTCCTATGTTTAAAAGGACTGAAAATATTCTTAAAAAAAAAAATTAAAAATTCAGACAGCAGCACAGCCACCAAATACAAAATTATGCCTTTTTTCAATTAAGCTAAATAATTCCAAATTGAGAAAACCTTCTAGAAAATGAAAAATGTAGTTATCATAATTGTGAATATAGTTTTTAACCAAGGAAAATGTTTACACGATGTTCCCACTGGCAAAAGTAAGTCACTAGCAGCAGTAAAATTTTACACACAGGTAGCTGTAAAGAAGTAGAACTCTGCAGAAAACCAGATTTCCAGCATTATTCTGGACAACTTAAAGAGCCAACTGCCCTCTAAATCACTGCTTTGTTAATTCCTGTATGGCACTCAGACACAATGTAGAAAAACAACCCTCTGTAAACTGTCGTGCAGGCTCAGATGCCAAAATACAACTGTTAACATTTGAAGGTCCCCACCAGAACAGCCAGTTGAAACCATGCTGCTGTAAAATTATTCAGGCACAGATGCTTTGTAAAATTCTAGACCTTTCATTATATATCTATATATGTTAGCTCCTCTTCTTCAGAAAGGACTGAAAGATTGCTCCTCAGATCTAACAGCTATTTCCTCACTCCAACACACCCACATCTCCACTGCAGAGGGAAGTAATTTAACCAATTACACTGGATAAAATGTATGCTAAAGGAAAATAGCTATTCAGAATTATTAGCTTATTTCACTATATTGCATACATGTAAACATCATTAGAGAACAGGCTATTTCAAACAGCATCTGCCCACTGCCAAGGGCTTTTTACCAATAGTTTATAGGCAAAAGAATTACAGCAAAGGAGATTACATTTTATTTACCTTGATGAGTCATGGTGACAGGTTCTTCACTGGATATATTGTTGTAAATGACCACAGCTGTGGCATTATGTGAAGCTGCTCGCAGTATTTTCTCTTTAAATGTACAGTTTCCTCGCTGTAGTAGAGCAATCCACTGCTTGGTGTTCGGTGGAACTTGGAAACGTGTTCGAGGGTCACAGCCCAGACGATCTGCAACTGAAGTGGGAAATACATTTACATGGATGGCACATCGTTCAAACGGGCAGAAAAAAAGAGAACAAAACCAACTCCAAGTTTTGCTGAATTACTTAACTGTCATGCACTAGAAAGCCACTATCCTCTTGTTAATAAAGCCTAAAGAAAACTGCATTCTTATCAAAAAAAGACTTAAAAAAAGAAGTCTCATGCTTTCAAAGCTGTGACTATATGCCCGAGAATTAGGCTCACTAACACACGCTATTTTTAACTCCAGTGCAGCTAGAACAATGAATTCACATTCAAATCAATACCTGCCTAGAGGCTTAAAAACATTAGAATATGGTTCATCTGCTATAGGCATTTACAAAACAGCTGTTTATCAGTCATTCTGGGGATTACAACTTTTTTTTTTTCTTTCTAATGCAGCCATAAATATCACTGCAGTGGGAAGTACAACCAAACAAAGCAGATTGTGAAAACAAGATTTCAGAGTTATCTGCCGTGTGCAGGCTACTGTAAAAAAAGGACAATATTAAAAGCTGATCTTGTAAAAACCCCAGCAGCCAACATCAGCTTTTTACATATGCACATTTTGTCTACAAGGAAACGTATTCAAATTCATAGAGAAACAAATGGTTTTGCAAACACAAAGCACTCGTCAGCTAAACAGGTATAGCTGGTATAAAGGAAGAGTAACAGAAATGGCAAATGCCAGATGTCTGAATTCAACAGTATGCAAAGCTCTTTTGTCCTTTCTGATGCTGTAACATATCCTGGAACAGCCCAAACCCACACAGAGCTGCGTATAAAAGGCACAATACCCAAGGCAGAAGATAAACTTCACGCTACAGCAGCTGAAACCGATGAAAGACAGATCTGTTTGCAAAACTGGAAACAGTTTAGTCTGATACACTGGTCATATTATGAAAAGATTTTATAAATCTAGAGCCAACAGCAATCTATAATGCAAATATATTTTTGCTTTCAAATGCCAAGAGTATAAGAATCATTGGCTACTAAAAATAGTTGGGATAAACAGTTATTTTTTGAAGATATAAACAAACAATTTATTTGCATAATAGCTCAGAAAACATTGTAGTTTGTAAGAGCAATTCAAATGAAGTGTCCTATATTTTTTTTCTTTTAAAGAAGTGAGTTCAGTGAGCACAGACTATGAGATTTCAGCAGAAGATCCACCACAAAAAATATCCTGTTCAACATATTAGCTGGAAACCAAACGTCTTTTTAAGCACCCTCAGCTTAACACAGCTGAAGTTAAATTCTGTAACGAGGGAGATTCAGAGAGCTGAAGATGTTTTCTGAAACAAGAAAGACAATCTTCTGCTTGCCTAAAGAAAACTAGTGCAGATGAATCTATACTGTGGCAGACGTTCAGGAAGTCGTTGCATCTCTTAATTTGGACAAGAAGTGCCTCTCCCTGTTCCCCTGGAAGGAGGGTGGGGAGCCAGATACCAGCACATCCTTTTCACAATTGTTTTTCAAGGCTGTATCAGACATTTCAGACATGGAGGGCTATTTGCTGTATTTTTGCACTTTTGCTTTTGTTTCATGCAGGCATCAGGGAAAATCTGAAATACAGATGCCCAAAGCCAAATTTTATAGAGTACTTTCTTCCATTACTCTGACATCATTACTTGAATCCCTTTTGGAAATTGCTGCCTAGCACTGATCCACACACACTGTTTTGGAGCACTGGTGATGGCCATCATAAACAGCATCAATCATAAAAAGAGCATGTTCACGCCCACTGCACTTTTGCAGCTTCTCTTTCTAATCCTAAATTTGAGAACAGTACATATTTTTTAAAAGGAATTATAGTCCTTTCTGAAAATGTTACAGAACCACAACATGGCACATGTGCCACCAACCTCAATGCCCTCTGTTAAGACAAAAGCAGTTTAATGCACACTTCCCTCTTGTTCTGAACATTTCCAATTAAAAACATGGTAGGTGGAAAGCACCAGCAAGACCGTGATAGGGAGTTTCTCAAGCCCTGAAAGCTAAAAATCCCATCCTTCTCAGGTGTGGTACATCCTTTTGAAAATGCCATTTAATAAACGGCCACAGTTCCATAGAATCCCCTCAAACTGCCAAAGATAACTCTGAAAGTAGACACTATGACCAACATAAAATTACTTAAAATATATGAGATTATGAAAAACAGTAATCCTGTGGATCATGTAGGGTTTGCTTCAGCGCAATCATGTTCAAAACTGATATGAAGTGAAAACAAAAACGGCCACAAAAATAAAGCTATTACAGAGAAAAATTATAAAAACCACAAAGGGCATCTTGAATAAGGAAGCAGCATTACCCAAAGTCTGTTATATAGTTCAGTTTTACAAAAATTCACGTAGGCACCTTGAAATCTGTACAGCTTGAAAATTTTTAGCTTAAAAAGCAACAGAGAAATCAGTAAGAGATAACAGAAACTGCATCTGTGGGAAAAGAAGTACAAAATTTTCTACCACAGTAGAGATCAAAGTCTCTCTCAGCTGTGGACAGAGCTATGAAATGTTACTGGATAAAGCAACAGAATTAGGAAACAAGATATTAAGAGATTAAAGCTTTCCAGATACAGACCAACAAACACCACTCAAATGCTTACAGCATGTTATTCCTGACAAGGTGTATTCAGTATATCCTGATGAAAATTTAACAGCTGACAATATTAATTCAGCACTACTTAAGTAGTACAAAAAAATCTGGTTGGTTTAGATAAATCTGAACTGAGTGTCTGCAAGTCACTTCAGATTTAGTAAAAAGCCACAACCCACTTTTCTTTACATTAGCATCCTATCACACCACACAAATGTTAAGTAATCTTTTCACTTTAAACTAAAAATTCAGAAACAACAGTGAAATGTGAAATTTTCTGCCTGTCTTTTCAATATACCTAATACACGATTTTCAGAGTGAAAGTCTTACCATCGGGTTCACCCTTCTTGAATAGTGAGCTGGCTAAAATAAAACATCTGCTGTACAGCTGAGGTGCCAGGCACATCAGTGGGCATTGTAAGGGACACAGATAAACAGAATCACTGACAGCTCTACGTTATCCTGCTATCTATGCTCCAGTGCCCAAAGTCCAACTAAAATCTAAAAGACATGGGCTCGCAAGTATTAGCTGGATGATCATAGAATCATTTAGATTTCGAACCATTTTAGAACTATTCAGGTTGGAAAAGACCGCTAAGATCATCGAGTCCACTGTCGTGTTCACTGTTAACCCATGTCCCCAAGTGGCACATCTACAAGTCTTTTAAATCCCTCCAGGGATGGTGACTCCACCACTGCCCTGGGCAGTCTGGTTCAATGTTTGACAACCCTTTTGGTGAAGAAGTTTTTTCTAATATTGAATCTAAATTTCCCCTGGCACAACTTGAGCTGTTTCCTCTCATCATGTCGCTTCTTACCCGAGAGAAGAGACCGATTCCCACCTGGCTACAACCTCCTTCCAGGGAGCTGTAGAGAGGGAGAAGGTCCCTCCGAGCTTCCTTTTCTCCAGACTGAGCCTCCCTAACTCCCTCAGCTGCTTCTCATCAGATTTGTGCACCAGACTCTTCCTCAGCTCCACTGTTTTCCTCTGGACACACTCCAGCGCCTCAACAACTTTCTTGTAGTGAGGTGCCCAAAGCTAATGTTACTCGCCAGAATAAAAAGCAATTTCACATTAAATTATTCTAAAACAAATCACTTGCACAGAAAAAAAAACATGATCAGAAGTCCCTCGTGTAATTTCAGAAGATACAAGTGTCCAGAAAGCCATCTGTTTCCCTATAGGTGTGCTACTCTTCCAGCTTATTTGAAATATAAGCTATTTACTCTGCCTTTCCTTTCTTCATGTCTATCTATGTACCATGTGCTAGCAAAAACCCAATTTTCTGTTAGAAGTGGCAGCCTGCTGGGTTAAAGAGCTATGTACTATATGTTGTTGTAAACATCTCCCTTTCTTCTGTAAGCCCCAGCACCACAGAAGAGCCTCTTTACAGAAGGATCAGCTGCAATTAAAGTATCTACCATTAGGCCCATGTTTGTTTTCAGCTCCAGGAGAGCTTTGGTTTCCTTCTGCAGAACACACAGGACTGTTCAACTTGTATAACTGTTTCTCCTGGACCATTTTTTATAATTCAAGAGCCCTTCATGCTGAAGGACTAAGGTTTGTGACAGCATTTTAGGGATTCATGTGGAAAAAAATAGTTAATAATGCAACAGATCCAACCAAGCTCCCTCAACTACTGAAGAAGTAGTAGCAAGCTCACATTAGCACAGCAACATTACATTCCTCCTCCTCTTTTCCAATTGCTTTACCAAGTTTTTAGTCTTCTCCCTATACAAGGGAGAGCCATTTTGTGGAAAAAAATGAAATTATTAGGTCAGCTGTCAGAGGCTTTGCCAGAAGTGCTCACCTGCCAGAATGCAATCTCCTAGTTCTGACCCACAGCTGGGTTTGCTCCCTCTCATACACAGTGTGTTTATGCTGCTCTTGCACTGCTTAGAACACAACAGTGACTTCAGCCAAGGTTGCTGCACTGGTTGTTATCAGACTTTGTCCCCTTTTCATGGAAATATCCCACTCCCTGGGCATTAACCATTTAATTCCATGGGGTTTCTTTTCCTCTTCCTTTTTTTATTTCTTTTTAAAGGTCAGATGTCTTGCTATTGATTGGATCTTAGCCAATACTAAGATCTCTCTGTACTCTCTGAGCCCAGCACCAGTTGCCAGAGCTGGTCTGTCTCAGCTACACATACAGAAATCATTTTAAAGTCTGACCTTCAATCACTGTAATACAATAACTGGAGAGACACCACTGGTATTTTGAGGGGCAGTAGATCAAGAGGCTTGTTGGGAGCAAAACCAGCACACAGGAGGGTGCAGTGTCAAGCAGCCTGAACCCCAAAGCATTCCCTCCTCCAGCACCACTGCCCAGGCAGGTGCTGCCATAGCACACCTGACTGGTAAAATAAGACAGCTCTGTGCAACAAATTAATTATAA